TATGAAGTGAGGACTTTAGCCTCTAGGCTACCACACAGGACCACGACCTTAAATTTATCTATTTTCACTCAAGGGTGAATGCTGCTTTCCATGTAGCAACTTTTCTATAGTTACATCTCCTTGCAGAATGTTAAGGTAAATTCACAAAACTGGGTATGATTTAATATAGGGAAGGAGACTATTTGAGTATAATTTATATATAAAAGGACAATTTTAGTTTAAGGATCAGCATATTTTTTGAAGATTAATTTATTTGAAAGACAATTTCACAGAGAGAGATTGATCTTGTGTCTACTAATTCACTTTCCAGATGGCTGGAACTATTGGGCATGGTCCAGGCCAAAGCCAGGAGCCTGGAACTCTGTCCAGGTCCCCCATATATGCGTGCAGGACACAAATACTTAGGCTGTCTTGTGCTGTTTTCCCAGGCTTGTTAGCAGGGAACTGGAGCAGATGTGAAACAGCCAGGACTTGAACCAGCATACATTTAGAATGCCAGCAACGTGGATGGTATCTCAGCCTGCTATGTCATGACATCAGCACCCTAAAGTCAGATTTTTAAAGATAGTTTTCTGCTTTGCTCTATTTGGTAAGTTACAACCATATGTGTCTAGCATGTTTCCTTTATGTGAGTATCTGACACATGGAAATAGCCCCTGTTTTTCTTTGAATACCCTTACTGTGATTTTCAAAAGCAAATAGGGATGAAATTGATTTCCCACAGTTGAGTTTTATTGCCTGGGAAGTATTACATATTTATGTTCCTCTTGGGCCGAGTATAATGGCTCAACTGGCTAAAACTATCCCCTGCAGACACTGGGATTCCTTATGGGCACCAGTTCATGTCCCGGCTGTTCTACTTCCCATCCAGCTCCCTGCTTGTGGCCTGGGAAAGCAGTCAAGGATGGCCCAAGGCCTTGGGACCCTGCACCCACATGGGAGACCCGGAAGAGGCTCCTGGCTTCAGATTGGCTCAGCTCTGGCCATTGGGGCTCTTTGGAGAGTGAACCAGCAGTAATTATCACTAAGATATATCCTGAGAATTTTTGAGTGAAGCCAATAACGAGGGCAAAATTAGTGAGAGGCAGTGAGTAACTGTGACCTTGGAGCCCAGATAGACCCAGATTCAAATCCAAACTCTCATTTTGTGCTTGTGGGATCTTAAGCAAGTCGCTTCATTTCTCTCTAAGATTTTGTTTCCATATTTCTAAAGGGGCCAGTAATTACTATTATTCCTGAGGCAAGGATTGTTCACTATATCTGACTTTGCTCATTACACATTTCCAGCTCAGTCCTCCTACACTGTCTCGATCAGCTTTTACTTAGTAACTACTTCACAACTCAGTGGCGGCTTCAGATGACAATCGCTACATATTCATACTATATCTCCTTGCTCATGTGAGAGCTAACCAGCAATCCCCCACCCCCTACAAAACACAAACAAACAAAAAACAGAAAAATACTTCAGTTGAACATAAAATTATGCTCACTCCAGGCTGGGAAGGCTGGGAAGGATATATCATTCTTCTGAAATAGAAAGTTGATTTAGTTACACATTCATACAGACAGAAGAAAGAGTGGTTACCAGGGGCTGGGGAAGGGAGGAGTGAGGACTTGCTGCTCGGTGTGGGCTGGGGCTTCTGTTTGGGAATATGTGTGAAGCTCTAAGGAGGGACAGTTGGTGATGGTGTCCCAGCAGTGTGACACTTAGAAACGGTGGAAATGGTCAATTGTGTATTTTGCCACAATTTAAAAAAATCTAGTGGTCAAATTTTAGTATTTGTCTCAAGTAGTCTCTCAGCAGAGCTTGATAAGTTACTCATTTGCACCTTCTTAAAAGGGGACACTTTACTGAGATATCATTCATATACCAACAGTTCACTCATTTCAAGGGTCTGTGATTGTTAGCAAATTCATGGACTGGTTCAGCTATCACCATAATCAATTTCCAGGCATTTTCACCACCTCTAAAAGGAACCCTGTGTTAATTTTTTTTCCTGGTGCATGCAGGCTTTTCTTTCTTTTGAGTAACTACTCAGAAGGGCAGTGTCTGAGTTATGCACTAAGCATACGCTGAGCTTTTGAGGGAGTTCCCAGCTGGCTTCTTGCAGAGGTTGTACCAGTTTACCGCAAGCAGTATGCGAACGTTCCAGGAGCTCTACCACCGTATCATCAGCTGCAGTTCTGTTTTTCTTTTTGCTTTTTACTTTCCTTTTTAGTTTTATTTTAATTTTTAATTAACTTTTAACATAGTGTGATTTGTAGATACAATTTTTTTTTTAAAGATTTATCTTATTTATTGGAAAGTCAGATAGACAGAGAGGAAGAGAGACAGGAAGATCCTCCGTCCAATGATTCACTCCCCAAGCGACCACAACGGCCGATGCTATGCTGATCCGAAGCCAGGATCCAGAAACCTCTTCTGGGTCTCCCACACGGGTGCAGGGTCCCAAAGCTTTGGGTCGTCCTCGACTGCTTTCCCAGGGAGCTGGATGGGAAGTGGAGCAGCCGGGATTAGAACCGGCACCCATATGGGATCCAGGCACGTTCAAGGTGAAGACTTTAGCCACTAGGCCACGCCGCCGGGCCCTGTAGATACAATTCTAAGAAGGTACTGGCATCCCCTTGTTCCCTCCCTTTCCCCCTCTCTCCCACTCTCCTTCCTTCTTTCTGCTTTTCAGTTTTTGAGATGAAATATTTTCAATTTGCATTACAGTAAAAAAGCTTGACACTTCACCAAATAAGAAGCTTAATAAATTAAAAGTAAAAAAGATCCTAGTTTAGTGGAAAGGTAGATAATAGCTATAGACAACAATTGAATGGAAAAAATGACCATTTTGCTTATACACAGTAAATAATTTTAAAGCAATCATGAAAACTGCAGTAATAAAACACTCTTCAACACTATTGACAAAGGTATAAAGCAAAATTTTACAAAATGATATTTGCAGCAATACTGATACAGACATTTCTTTCTAATTTTAGCTCCTAAACAGCAAGGAGAACGTGCGGTATTTGTCCTTCTGAGCTGTTTCACTCAACATGATGTCCTCTACTTGTGTCCATTTACTGCAAATGGTAGCATTTCATTCTTTTTGTGGCTCAGTAATACCCCATTGTGTATCTATACCACATTGTCTTCACTCGCCTGATGATGGAGACCTTGGTTGAGTCTAGATTTTGGCTATTGGGAACAGTGCTGCTACGCACACATGCTGGTGCTGGTATCTCTTTGACACACTGTGCTCAAGTCTGTTGGCCACATACCCCGTAGTGGGATTGCTGGCTCGTATGGCAGGTCTATTTGTAGTTTTTGAGGAAGTATCTGCACTGCTTTCCATAGCGGTTGCATTAGTGTCTATTCCCATGACAATGTGGAAGTGTTCTTTCTCTGCATCCTCGCCAGCATCTGTTACTCTTTAGTTTTTGGACTTTTAGCTGTTCTGACTGAGGTGAGCTCATGTCTCATTGTGGTTTTGATTTACTTTTCCCTGATGGCTAGTGAGATTGAATTTCTTAAATGTGTTTGTTAGCCATTTATGTTTCATTTGAGAACTGTTTATTAAGTTCTTTGCCCATTTCCCAACTAGATTGGTTGTCTTTCTGTTGCTAATATATTCAGGGTATTAATCCTTTGTTGGATAGGTGGTTTGCAAACAATTGTTCCCATTCTGGTGGATGCTTTCATTCTAAAGATTGTTTCCTTTGTTGTGCAAGAGCTTCTGAGTTTGATACAACAAGAGTTATGGAGGAGAAAGATATGAAGGGCATCAAATTGGAAAAGAGGAAATCAATCCGTTATCCATGTTTTTAGATGACATGATGTAGTATGTGGAAAAGCCAAAACACTCCATCAGAAAGCTATTAAAATCAATACACCAATTCAGTAAAGTTGCAGTTTACAGAATAAATATACAAAACCACTAGCTTTTTAATGCTAATCATGAGCTCATGGAAAGAGAAATCAAGAAAAATATCCCATTCACCTTAGCCACAAAAAATTCAAATATTTAGCATTAAGTTTAATCAAAAGAATGATTTTTATAATGAAAACTATAAAACATTGATGATAGAAATCACCAGGAACACGCAAAACAGGAAAAATATACCTTGCTCATGGATCAGAGAATCAGTATGATTAAAATGTCTAGTTACTTACAGCAATCTACAGACTCAATGCAATTCCTGTCAAAAATCCAACTATCTACATTAGAAAAAGCAATCTTAAAATTCATATGAAATCACAAGAGCCAGAATAGTCAAAGCAATCCTGAGCAAAAATAATCAAACAGGAGGCATCACAACACTGGCTTCAAAGCATACTACAAAGCTATAGTAATTAAAACAGCATAATATCATCATAAAAACCAATGCATAGATCCATGCAACATAATAGACCAGAAACTAATCCACATACAGACAGCTGATTTTTGACAAAAATGCTGAAACCATACAGGAAAGTAAGGACAATCTTCAACAAATGGTGTTCGCAAAAACTGTGTGTATATATAATAGAAAAAAATTAGATCCATACCTCCCATCATATGCAAAAAATCAACTCAAAATGGATCGAAGACATAAACTTAAAACCTGAGACCATGAGGTTGCTGAAGAAAATATAGGGGAAACACGCCAATACACTGGTGTAGGGGACGACATCTTGGACAAGATCACAGGCAACAAAAGCAAAACTAGACAAAAGGAGCCCTGTATCTCTTAACAGCTGCTCTTTGTTCCCAGCTTAATCATCACGAACCCATAGACTGCCATTCCACATCACTTAAATGGTATCATATAACCTGTGACCTTTTGTGGCAGGCTTCTTCTACTTAGCAGAATTTCTCATTTTCTCACATGCTGCAGCATACATTAGTACTTCACTTATGCTTGTTGACGGATACCACAGGAATTTTCGAAAATGCAGATGTGTGCTACAAAAAAAAAAAACTGTGTATTTTGCTAGGTCTACACTGAACAGTACAGAGACAGTTGAATGTGTTAAATATTTTATTCACATTGTTTACAAACTATATCCATTTGGAAAACATGTGAATCAAAAAATAGATTATCTTACAGTATTTCACATTTTTTAAAAACAAGTTAGTTTCAAGGTTGAACTCTTTGCACAGAGGTCTTCAGCCTGGACTGTGGTTCAGTGCCTCGTCAGCTGATGATCGCGACTTTGATGACATCCTGGGGCAGTTCACCTGGCTGGAGGTCGCTAACGACTCCCATGCCGTGACTGACCAGAAATGGCAGTACAGTGAACATTTATGGTGTAAGTTCACTGTATTTTTGTCAAGGAAATACATGTTTTAGAGCCTGACTGCACATCAGGTAGGAAGACATAAGGAAAGACTCAGATTTGGCCATGACAGAAGTTTTGGAACATTTTCAGTTGTATCAAAGGTTTAATGGCTTGACCACAGATAGAATCAACAAGATGGATTTTATCGTATCGACAGCTTGAATCATAGAAACAGTGGTGATTGGGAGATTGATGCAAGCCTCTGTTGATGACCTGTGCCTATCTGATGCCAGCCACTGATTGGGAGAAAAGGGGCAACAAACTTGGCAACATTTCATGTGGCTAACATTAGATTTCTAACTCTGGAAGGATGGCCATGAGAGTTTTTGCTGAATAGTCAGAAATGATGGCTTGGTTTAGAAACTTGTTTTTAGCCTAAGCTAAATCCCAATTATGTCCAGTTGGATGACTTAGCTCTTCTACAAACTCAGTCCTTCTATGCAGTTTGACTGTTGTGATTTAAAGTATGTCTTACCCACTTTTTACCCTCTCCTACATATAAACTACAAACGAATCACTTTCCACTTTTAGTAAACTATCTGAAAACTTTTCAACTTTTGCCCTGGGGGTCTTGGATGTGTCTCCAGTGGCACAGGGTTGGGTGGGTTTTCTGAATGGCATCAATGGTATTGGCTATTGTAGTTCTGTGATTCTTAATTAAGGGGATAATGTCTGATGTAGGGGCCACTGAAGAGAATCCTCCTTGGGGTTGGGGAAAGTCGGTTCTTACGAGTTGCTGCCACACGCCCAGGTAGACAGCAACTCAGAACCCAAATAGAAGCTGAGCTGTGGAGAAGTTTTATCAGGACATTTGCAAGTGTTTGAAAAAAAAAAAAAGACTTTCAAATGTCTGTTGCAATGTGATTGTTTTGAAGGACAAATCCTTAGGAGGAGCTGCATGCCTGCAGTTGATCATAGCTTGTCTTCCTGCCACCCGTGTGCATTCTTTCCAAATTTGTACACTAACCTTCGGTCAACCCGTTCCAAAATGCCCGTTTTGTAGTAGTATCTGTGAAAGTAAGTAGCAGAGAATTTCATTAGCACCCAGGCAAACAACAGAACAGGAAGTTTCTTCTCCGTCTCAAGTGACCAGACTGGTTCCCTCGTATTTTTGTACACTGCTGTCAACTTACAATTCAGCCTAACCTGGGCAGCTTGAAGACTGAACCTCATCATTCTTGGGGTACTCTCTCTCTCTGATGGCTTGATTCAGAGTGATGCCCAGGGGGAATACTGGCAGGAATGGGAAGGGCATTGTGTCAATTTACACACCTTCATTCCACTTGCGTCTAAGAGCCAAGCCCTGACCCTTCCATCAGCCAGCTAAATAAGCACAGTGTGGCTTTGCCGTGGCTGTCGTTTTTACGTGCTTCCTTTGGAAGCTCGGGGTATTTGGTGCCAGTTACGTACCTCAGAGCTCTGCTCAGCTTCTCGTATGTCATTCTGTCGTTCTTCTTCCTTTGTCCCCACATCTTTGCCAGGGCTTCTGACTTCACTACACGAAAAATACCTTGTTCCCTGTCTTCCCACTCCAGGATGCCACAGTTTTCTTCAGGAGACAGAAGCAGGTCTCGCACAAATTCCCAGAGGTGAGAACTTTGGAGGCCTTCAGAGAAGGGGAGAAGTACTGAATGATTATTTATTTATTTAAATATTTATTTCAAGAGGAGAGTTGTGCAACTTTCTCATCATCACCATGAGAACGGCTGCACTGCGGTAGATGTTTCTGACGGTTATACCTGAGTGCTCCACTGAGAAACAGGCTGTGAAAAATGCCCATCTGCCAACAGGGCAAGAGCAAAACACACACAGAGAGACACCAAAGGGACTGGCAACACGGCGCCTCACTGCCACGCTGCTCAGAGGAGTCCTGGATGAATTCTTACAGGATGAAGGAAATGACAGACAATCTTCTCACTCTTCTCCCGGGCAGATGGTAGGATCGTAAGGAGACTCCATACCTAAAATTGTCAGGGTGGACCGATCCTGCAGTTTGAATTTTTTGGGGTGGTGATAACTAGCTTGTATTTCTCTTGTTCTGTTACAGTGTGGTTAAGACTGGCTCTGTGGCTTCCTGGCTCTGTGACTCATTCTCTAGTGACCTTATCTACAAAATGGGATAGTGAGAGCATCTGTCGGAGGAAAGTGGAGGATTTGGTCATCAATACTCCCAGCATGGAGAGATTGCCTTCCTCACACACATCTTGGAAGATGCCAGCTGGACTCCATGCTGAGTGGATTTCTTAGTGCTGGGAAACACTCCCAAATCGACCAGTTCCTGTGGTGGGCATGTGGCAGAGCGGTTAAGACACCAGCTGGAGAGGGTGGAATCGACTCCAGGTCTCACTCTGGACTTGGACTTCCTGTGAATGTGCATGCAGGGAAACAGCAGGTGGTGGCTCAAGTGTCTGGATTCCTGCCACCCACATGGGAGACCTGGAATGAGTTCCTGGTTCCCAGCTGCAGCCAACAAGAAGAACTCTCTTTGTCTCTGTCTTTCAAATAAATAAAGTTGTGAAAAATGAACTGTTACCTTTTGGTAGTTTTACTACTTTCCCCTGAGTACTTCAGTGAGGGATCCACAGGAGGACCAGGGAAAATAAAAACTTACCTAGAAACTCAACATGCCTTTACAAATCTCTCTACTTTTTAAATTCGTATGATATCATCATTGCCAATTGGAAAGAAAAAAAATATGATTTTGGTAACATGTACAAAAGCAAGCATCAATGTCGCTAATTCCTTCTTTAAAAAATAATTAATCCCAACATTTACTTCCCAAGCTGACTGAAGTCCATTAATTTGTCTTAGGGGATGATTTTATGTCATTAGATGAAAAACGGGGGCCAGTACTGTGGTCCATTTAACAGTGGGTCACACCTTGTGAACTCAGCATCCCATATCAATGCCAGTTGGAGTCCCTAGTGCTCCATTTCTGATCCAGCTCCCTGCTTATGCATCTGGGAAGATAGTGGAAGAGGATCCAAATGCTTAGGTTGCTTCACCTGTGTGGGGGGCCTGAATCGAATTGTAGGCTCCCGGCTTCGAGCCTGATCCTGGCCTGGCTGTTGTGGTCATTCAAGGAGGGAACCAGAGGATGGAGACTCTCATTCTCTCGCCCCCTTTTTTCCTCCCAGATCCTTGCCCTCTCTGTAACTCTGTGTTTCAAATCAATACCTAAATCTTAACAACAAAAAAGTGAGACAAAAATAAAACGAACAAAACAAAACAAAAAGCAACAACAAACCCCTGGTGTCTGTACTTACTTGTTCGACTGTGATTGTGACAGTCTTGACTTTTGATGCCACTTGTTTTCAAGCAGTTGGAGTCAGCATCTGAAACAGAATGTTTACAGCAGTGGCAAGGAAGGCAGAGGCCACATACAGACCTCGTGATCACGCCAACATGAAAGTAGATGCTAGTTGACTGCCTTCGTGATGGAAGATGCTATTTTAGGCACACTCAGAGTGCTTAGTAAGGGGAAGTTTGGGTTCCGTCCTGGGGACTCACCACGTGTCATGTTCAGACATGCACAGTTCCCTGCTCATGTGGAATCAAAGCACAAATGGACTGGGAGACTGGAATGAGCCAAAGGGACAGGCACATCCCTTAAGGTGTCAGTGTCATGAAGGAAGCCAGACCCTGAACAGAGAATGGGGATGTGTGGGGGAGTACTGCAGGACGGCCTCGGGAAAGAAGGAAAGATGAGCAGGAGCCAGTGTGAGGTGGTGGAGAAGAGGTCCCAGGAGTGCCAAGTCAAACACAGACAAAGGGCTGATGAAACAGGTGTGCTGTGCACACACTGAGCGTTGTGGTTGGCAGCTCCCCTGGGCCTTCCTGGGGGCTGTGGGAAGGGCCACACTCTAAGCAGCACCCTCTGGTGAGTGGAGGCAAGAGTGGACCAAGTGAAGGGACACAAGTGAAAGCAGAGACCAAAAGCACAAGTGAAAGCAGGGACACAAGTGAAAGCACTAATGGAGACCGGAAAGCAAGGTCTCCAAGGACTGTGGAGTGCACTTACAGCTCACTTAAATGACGATCGTGACACCTGGACACGCCTTGTTCCAGATCAGCACGTGATTATAAACCAGCAGCACCATTCCTGCCCCACCTGCCCCTCGCCAAGCAATCTGCTCCCTTCGCTCCAGCCACACACCCTCCTGACTCTCCCCACGACATGCAGGCACTTGACCCCTTGGTGCCAGGGCATTTGCTCTTCCTTTTGCCCAGAATGATCAGTCCTTGGGTATTTGAGGGTTCATGCCCTCATCTCGAGGTTGGCTTGAAACTACAGTGGGGCCTCCTCTGATCCCCCAAAAGTTGTCATGACAGAGTCACCCCTACCTGGAATTCTGTCTTCTCCTAATTGTATGTCCTTCACTGCCTGCGCCCCCTAGTGGAAGGATTTCCATTTCCACTTGATTCCCTCTAGCTGGACATGAAGTGGGTGTTCAATGAGCATTACAGAGCATTAACCATGCCTAAGGTATGTGTAGTTTGAATACTGCAGCTACCGAGTGGAGGATCAGACATATTGTCAAGGGAGGCAGTGGCTTCCTGCACATCATGCGGCTGCTCAGGGTGACCAGTCTCACTGCCATTGTGACTTGGCACTCCTCAGGGGAATCTCTGGCAGTAGCTTCTGTTTTCTACAGGGTGAACCCTTCCGTGACCGTGCAGCCACTCACCAACTGCCCCCATGCACACCTCCAGCCTTACCTTGTTCTGCTTCCCAACTTCTTCCCTTCTTGTCCATCGCACAGTCCCAGTGGGGGCTTGGCTTGCTCCTGTCTCAGGATCTTTGCTGAGGTTCCCAGCCATCCCCTTCACCCAGCTAACATCCACTCTCACGAGCCCTCCCTCACAAAGGCTTCTCTGAACTTCCTCTCTGGGTTCGATCCCTCCTGGATCCCATAGTGCCTGTGTTGCTGTCACACTCTGCAGGAAAAACGTTCCTGTATCTTTTGTTCTAACAGCTGGTATTTATGGGGCATTTACTAAATTCCAAGTGCTTGTTGAGCACTTCACACACAGCACCTCATTTAGCCCTTGCAAACACCCCTCAGGGTCTTAGTATAATTTCATTTAATTGAGGAGGAATTTGAAGCCCTCAGAGCTCAAGAGTTTTATCCAGATGGTGGAGCCACGACTTCAGCTCAGCTTCCACGTCCAAGCTAATGCTCAAAGCGACCCCATCATGTCTGAGTAGCAGGGATTCAAGAGGCATTTAAAATGAACATCATTCAGCTGAGATCTGCTGCATGGTGGCTCTTGGCAGATGCTCACACACTCTCACCCACCGTATTTATTGCTCTACCCAAAGGAGTCTGTTGCCTTATTTAAAGGAAGAAAGAAAAAGAAATGGAATCACAAACATAAACAAAGGTGACCCGTGAACCATGAATGGACAATAGATTCTCACTGAAATGTAGATTCTCACTGAAATGCCAAGAGAAGAGGGAAAAAAATCAAACCACCCTTCTAATTTTTATGGTTTCTCTGCTGTGTTCCAGGCAAAGGACATTTGGCTGACAGGATGAACACAGTACAGATGAGCACAAGGTGGGGTTAAAGGAGGTGCAGGGCACTGGGACTTTCTTCCTTGGGGCTTTGCCAAGAATCTTGTTCTGTCAGTTTCTATGGTAGTGGCTTTAAAGGAACCCATAGTGGCAGGGCATAATGGCTCATCAGGCTAATTTTCTGACCTGTGGCACTGACATCCCATATGGGCACCTGTTCATGCCCTGGCTGCTCCACTTCTGATTCAGCTCCTTGCATATGTTCTTGAAAAGTAGGGGGGATGCCCAAATCCCTGGGACTCTGAATCCATGATGGACACCCTAAGAAGCTCCTGGATCCTGGCTTTGAATCATCTCAGCTTTGACAGTTGTGGTAATTTGGGAGTGAACCAGGAAATGGAAGACCTTCTCTCTGTCTCTACTTATCTCTCTTAAAATTTTGCCTTTCAAATAAAAATTTAAAAAAAAATCTAAAAAAACAAAAAGACCCACAGGTGGATTAGATTCAAGCCCTTGGTTGGCAATGGTGGTAAAGGTAAGAGCCAGGGTAAAGGGTTAAAGCTACTACTTCAGTATCCATGTTGAGGCAGTTTCCCAAATCAAAGTCTCCACTGAGATTGGCTGGGTGTCTTTAGCAGCACCCTGAACTCCATTCCTCTGCAAATGCCAGTGGTGCTTCTGCATGCAACTCTCCCTATGACTGTATCTCAGATGTGTCCCTGTACATGGGCTGGGACCAGAATGAGTGGAGGCAAGGCCTAGGTCCTCTGCTGTTTCTGCCATTTGAAGAGCTTGAATTGGCCGTGAGTCAGCACACTTTGTACATCTATTCTCAGTGGGTGATCGGAACCATTGTCTACTGTCCTCCAGCAACTGGATGGAGGGCAGATCTGAGAGTGGGTCAGGATTTCCAAAATACACTCATCATTACAGCCCATGACCCCAGGGGCACAGCCGTAGAACAGCCCATGCCAGGATAATCCTGAGGCTCAAGAGAAGACAGGTACCTGTCGCAAATCTGAGGGCTTTATCCTTGAGCTTTGGTATCCCCCGTTGGCATTGTTCAGTGGAAAAGAGGAAGCAGGTAGAGAAAAGAGACAAAGGAGAGGGGCTAGGTTGCTGAACGTTGTCACGTTCTGATGGTTCCGTGGCTTATCAAGCTTGCATACCTTCAGTGACTACTAAGATGAAGATCATCTTGTGGTCTGAATCATGATTAACCTAGGCCCACACTTGCAGGAGTCCCTGAGTCTTGGTCCTCAATTGAGTGGAAAATGGAGTGAATAGAAGATTCTGTGCACAAGTAATGTGTGCAGGTGTGTGTGCATCTGTGCCTGTGTGTGCATAGTATGATATATAAGGGTGTGAGTTTTAAGAAAAAGGAGCTGGAATCCCAATTTTGCATTTGCTGTAGTTATTGCACCTCCTGTTTCCTCAGAGGTTAATGAAGATAACAGCACCATGGAATGGAGTTCTGAGGAAGATTGAGTGAGTTGATGTCTGTGAAACCCTTGGCATGGCACCACACCTGGCATAATAAGTGCTTTATAAATCATAATGGCAGCTGTGAGGTTTCACTGAAGACCCAATGGGAATAGGTAGAAAGTCCTGGGATGCCTCTTTGTCCTCACTGGCCAGGACTTGGTCACTGGACAGCACATCAACATTGACAGGTGGCGTCTCACTTCCACCTGCCTGGAATGACACCCATACTCTGCTGCCCATATGTCTGCACTGCACTTGGCCTCAGTTCCCCTCCTTGACCTCTTCTGTTGGTGTTGCTGACACGTTACTAATGCTGCCTGAAAGAACTTAACAGTGGAAATCCAAGCAGCCCAGTGTGAGTCTCCAGCCATCCGTAGCTCCTGAGCACCCAAATGCAGCCAGTGTGACCAAAGTGCAGAATCTTCATTGCATTTATTTTAATTAATTTAAGTGGACACAGGTGTATGAAATGTTGACCAAGCTAATTCTAGGCCCCCTGTCTATAAGGATTCCAAAGCCGTTCCTTCCTTGGGGTCTCAGCATTTGCCATTCACTCACGGGACCTTCTCCTTTCCCCTCTCTTTTTCTGGATAGTCTTTAGGCCTAATTTAAATTATGCTTCCTCCAAACGTTCTCTGATCTCCAGGTTAAATGCAATCTTTCGTGCCATACACACAGGGTTCCCTATACTCCCCCTTTATGATGTCATCATGATTGATAATTAATTACTGGGTTATAATGGAGATTGTTTGGTTAATGTTTCCTCCCTCTCTTGTTTTATTGCAGGCAAGACCTACACGGTGTCATCACTGTGGCCACAGTGCCTATTTCTGGGCCTGGAACATAGTAGGTGTTCCATATTTTGTTTGAGGGAAGGAATCAAAGACTGAGTGAATGAATGAAAATGGAAAGAAACAAATGGATGATGAGATTTATGGGCCGAGAGCTTCTGATTTAGACACAGTTGGGTTGTTCTTCACCTTCTAACTATGTCTAGGCTTTAGTTATATCTAGCCTTTAGTTCCTGTTCTGATACAAAAGACTATGGTTTTGCCTCACAGTTCATTGTCACACAGGTTCAGTTAATGGAAAGATAATACAGGACAATGTCTATAAAGATTTTAGGACATGGCCTAGCTCACAGTAGGCATGAAATAAATGCTGTCTGCCACCTGCTATTTTCATCACTGTTATCATCATCATCATCATCATCATCACCAATTGAATCTAACGGCAGCTGGTTATATAGTCCGCTAACACTGACTCTCTCTTCCTAGCTCAATATTTTCCTTTGGCTGTGAGGAAGCCACACTCATGGTGATTGCGCTTAAGGGTGAAGATGCTGACACCTAGAGCCAGGGTTGATCAAGCCAAACTCACTTCTGCTCTGAGAGTAAAGCATGTAGCTACCTGTAGTGCAAGCATTTGGAATCAGACACAGTGATGGCCCCTGGGCGTCCATGCACTCGTTTCTTCCAGGACTCCTGGGCTGGGCCAGGATTCACATCCCTGGATGACTGGATGGATCAGAAGGGGAGCCCTCAGAGCTGAAACAGGGTGGAAGCTTCGCTCCCAGGTAGGCAGAGAGGTGTGCCCTGTGGTCCTTGACCATGAGAAGCCCCATGGAGTGCACAGCTGCTTGTGGGAAGGCAGCTGAGGTCAAGGGCAGGGCAGCTGGGGGCAAGGGTATTTTGAGCCCACAGCTTATGGCTCAATATTCCTAACACACTTTTAAAACCAAAACCAAAGCTCCTAAAATGCAAAGCCTTCCATTAACCAGGAGCCAAATTATCCGAATCCTCAGTTGTGTGCTTGGGACTTACAGGAGAAAGAGAGGAGAAAGAAAAAGAGAGAGAGAGAGACCTAAGAGAGTGATCCTGTGCCTGCTGTCTGCCCACACCTCCCAGTGGTCTTAGCAATCACTGCCGCTCTGCCCCGCTTTGTGGGTGACTGAGCTCAGGCCTGAGGATGATAAGAGCCCACCTCCCGGCCCAAGGCCTTGGTGTGGGAGTTGGTAAAGTTGTTGTCATCACTGCTGTCATCATCATCATCATCATCATCATTAAAAGACAAGAGCTGCCAGAAGGCAGTTGGAAGAGAAAGCCTGCTGACAAGGCCATGGAGCCTCCATCATCCTGTAATTCTAAACTTGATCTGCCTGGTACATGAGATTCTTCTTAAGCTATTGCCAACCACAAAGCCTCTCACATTATGCCATTATGATCGGTACTGGTTTTAGGGGAGTACACACTAGGCACCTTGTGTACCCTGTTTCTCAACCCCCCCAACTCAGTTCAGTGTCAGATCAACTTTATCAATAGGGAAAATGAATCCTGGGGAGGAACAGGGAGCCTAGAGACCCAAGCTGTGGCCCCATGTCCACACCTTGTCCATTGCCTTCTCCCCGTCATCCCCAAGCCTGGGTCTGCTCCAGTTCAACCTCTAGGGGAGTCCTACAAGAACGATCAAGTCCACCCCTACAGCAGCCTTGGCCCAGCCTGGGGCAGCTTGGGCTTGGTTACTTACAGTCTTTGATGGTAGCCTTAGTCTCTTCGGCATCAGTGAAAAAGGAGTAACCTGCAAAGGAAAAAGAGATTCACTAACTATCCTGTGCAAACCTGATTTTCACTGGCCACACCTGGGAGGGAAGAAGGGCCGGGGCGAAGAGAGTGATGGCTCCTTGGAGGGTTGACTTTAGTTTGGAAGTAATTTGGGAGACCGTTTGCCCTTATGCAGCCACCTGGAGAAGTGACAGCTCCTTGTTTTCAAAGGTCACTTGGAAACAGCAGCTGGGGCTGGGGAAATCTGAGGGGTCTGTGGATCTCTGGCGTGGGCTCTGGGGAGGGGACCAGGAAGGGGCTGGAGGGAGCTGAGCCGCTCTGGGGAGGGGTCCTGGTGGAGGCCTGGAGTGGGGCTGGGCCATCAAGCTCCTTGCCAATGACCAAGTTGTTGTGCTCGTTGGTTTTCCTCACTGGCAACGTGAGGCAGAATGCTTGCCCAGCTGTGCTTTGGGGTCACCATGGGTTGGGACTAGGCAGCCTCCTATGCGCTGGTCTATGGAGATCCCGGACATTAGACGCTGCAGGAGGTAAACAACCAGATAGGAACACAGAAGCTGGAAGACAACTTGGGCTTCACTTTCCTCCTCCGCAGGAAGGGATACCCTGGGGTTGACTTAGGAATTTCACAAAACAAATCAGGCCGGAGGACACCTACTTTCCAGCTTGGTGTCCAATGTGAAGATTAATTTCTGTCTCCCGAGGGGATGTAACAGGGCACATATGGGCTGGGTTGTGCTTGGAACCACGCTCATGTTCTCATCGGTGTTCAGCTGTAGCACCTTACTAATCAAGTACGGAATGGAAGATTGATAGATTGGGTCCTCTCCCACTTTACGGAAGCCACACTCTGCCCTCTGCTCCCCCTGCTGCTCATTCCTGCCAGAGCCCAGTTTCCCCATGTTTCTGGATTCTTCTATTCCTGCTGCAATACCTGCCGAGCCAGATGGCTCTCTGGGCTCTAGAGCGCCATCTAGCGCTCGCAACGAAACTGCCATGTTCTGGTGACTGTTCTGCCAGGGCTCTAATCTCTGGAAAGCACAAAGCATGCACTGCTAGATAATCACCTGGGATGTAAGTTCCACACGGAGCCACTTAGAGGATGAACAGCAAAGGTAATGACAGTTATTCCAAGATAACAAGTGCAAACAGCGTGTCCTGGGCTAAGTGCAAATTTGGTCATAATAGATTCATACCCTGACCTCCCTGAGGAAAAGTGAAGGACGAATTCAGAAGACAGCAGGTTGGTGGAGTAGGTTGTTCACTGCTCAGCACAAAGTTCTCTTGGTCTAGAGAGTGTCTGACATTCTACCACTGCAAGTGGCATGGGGAATAAGAGGTAGATGGGCCCGGCAAGGTAGCATAGCGGCAAGTCCTCGCCTTGCATGTGCTAGAATCCCATATGGGCACCTGTTCATGTCCTAGCTGCTCCACTTCCATCCAGCTCCCGGTTTATGGCCTGGGAGAGCAGTCGAGGACGGCCCAAAGCCTTGGGACCCTGCATCCATGGGGGAGACCCAGAGGAAGCTCCTGGATTCAGACTGGCTTAGCTCCATCCATTGCAGCAACTTGCAGAATGAACCAATGGATGGAAGATCTTTCTCTCTGTCTCTCCTTTGCTCTGTGTATCTGCCTTTCCAATAAAAATAAATATGAATACATCTTTAAAAAAGAGGCAGCTCTGGCCGACTGAAAAGCCCTTAGCTTACTCATTTTGCACAGAGCCTTGAAACAGTGAGAGCACAGACAGGAATTCTGCTGTCAGGATTGCCAAGGAAGGGAGGGGCCCCTTGCAGGAGCCCCAGCCTCAGGGCTGCTCAGGACCTGGAGGAAGTTCAGCTGCTCTGAGCTCTGAGCGTGCTAGCCACACATCCTCGTGCAGGACGGACTCTTGCTCTTCTGACCCTGGGATTCTTGCACGCGCCTGTGCCTTTGGCAGGGTCCTGAGCAGAGCCCCGAGCTCCTTCCCCCGGAGCCACTGTGTCCTTGTTCTGTCTAGGCCAGGTCACTGTACCCAGTGGTTACCGGTCACTGTCAGCAGTGTGCACGGAGCAGAGGCTGGATGACAACAGGCAGTGAGCCTGCTTGTCCTTTCCTTCTTCTTCTGTGACCTGTGGCTCCCAGGGCACCCGCCAGTGAGAGCCCAGGGCCAGCCTACTCAGCTTTCCCACCCTCAGAAACCCTGATGAAGGAGGATGAGGAAGTCAAGGAGCCACAGACTGGAATTGTGGGTTTTCTGCCCAAACAGGAACCCCTGCCACAGCATCCCCTTCAGGTGCAGGAGATCAGACTGCGATTACCTCCAGTGGCTGGAACTTCCCACCCACGGCATCTCCGCCCCCAGTCCTGCCGGAGGCCCCATCCCTCGAGGCCCCGCCCCAAGCCACGCCCTTGAGGCCCCGCCCAGCCTCACCGAGGCCCTGCCCTAGAGGCCCGCCCTTAGACCCCGCCCCGAACCACGCCCAAGGCCACGCCCCAGTCAGCTGAGCCCCGCCCCAAGCCCCGCCCTCTAGGCCCCGCCCTCTAGGCCCCGCCCCCAGCCGCCCACCTTGGGTGCGGATGTTCTGCAGGATGAAGTACAGGTACTCCCCGCAGATGCCAGCGGCCTCTACGAACTCCTCCTGCGTCATGCTGCACAGCTGCAGCCCGCTGACGTTGAAGTGGCAGAAGGAGATGCAGTTGGCGTCCAGCTTGTATTGATCGCAGCAGAACTGGAGCCATTCCCACACGTGGCGCTTCGTCCAGTACTCCGGGTGGACGGAGGTCCAGTATGAGTCGCAGGCTGCCCCAGAAGAGAGAGAGAGCAGTGAGGGACAGGCCACCAGGGTCCCCTCCGCTGCCACAGGCACCTGCTGTGCCAGAAGCTTCGTCCCTCCCTGGAAAGGGCCTCCAAACCCTGGAGAGCCCAGGGACCCCCTTTTGTCAGAAAAAAAACGAAGGGACTGGGTCCTGTGGATGGGCTCTGGGGCCAGAGAGGGGATTATAGGGATAAGAAGTCACCAGATCATTTCTGGTGCTTAGAAAGAGGAGGAAAACAAAAACAAAAATGAAAACAAGACACACACACCCAAAAAACACCTTCAATGATTTAGTTTCAGACAACATAGCATCAAGAGCGTAAAGGCAAGGACTGGACAAGCCTGGGTTCAAACGCTGATCTGGCTGCTTCCCACCTGGGTCAGGGCTGTGGTGTTTGAACTTCCGTTTTCTCATTTGCTAGGTGGGGAGGATGTGACTGACCCGCAGTGCTGTCCTAGTTTCATGTCAATGTGCATGGCCAGCTGCATACAAGATCCTCAACAGCCTCTCCGAGCCTACTGTGTACCAGGCACTAAGAGGCTGGTCTGACTCCTCAGCTCTGCCGGACAGCCACCTGATGCTAGCTGTGGGTCTGGGCACAGTCTCTGGCCATCCTGTGCCAAGGCCTGGGCATGGCCCAGCGTCGGAAGGACCTGGGATCATTGTGGCTGGCAGCTCTGGGGGGAAGAAGGTTGTGGGAGAGAGCAGGTAGTGTTTGGGGTTTTGAGTAACTTCAGCCTAGAGATCAGAGCGCCTCTTGCACGTGCACAGAGGGTGGGCGTCCTCTTGTCCAGGGGGCCGGGACAGAGGGTGGGTGCTCAATAGCTCTGTCCCAATGCCCCAAGGAGAATCTGAAACAGTCACAGACACAGGCCACGAAGGGGTGAGGCATCACGTAGCCGTGCGACTTTCTGTGTACTTTTGACGTAACTAATTATTGGAACGATCCTGATAGTTCATGCATTTACTCATTCAAAGGATGACAGCATCAGCTTCCTCGCTGGCAAAACGAGGCTAAGTATAGCACCTGTATCAGCAGGTGGTTACGCAGGTTCAGTGGGTTCATCTGTCTTAAAGTGCTTGGCTCAGGGCCTGGCAGGTTCTAATGCTGTTATTGATGACCGTCTACCACGTGTCAAGCAACAGATGGGGTGGGAAGGATCTGTGCTGGCTGAGAGCAGTTTGGTCCTGGCCCCCCAGAACGTCACATCTGAGCGACCTGAGGTCAGATAGGATCCCACAGCCAGCGTGAAGCCAAGCTGGGGTTTGATCCCTAGTCCGGGCTTGGTAAGCTGGGTCCTTTCTCAACCGGTGCTGGGTCAGTTAAAGAGATAAACCAACCACAGGGAGAGAGGAAGAAGCTGGGTGAGGTTGAGTGAGTAAGGATGGCACAGCAGAGTGGCTGAAGTGGTCGTCAGGCAGAGGGCATGGGCGAGAGCTCGTAGGAGCCTGCCGGTTTAGTGCTGGCATGCCTGTCCCCAGGTGGCAGGTGGCGGCTGTTCCTCCTGCGTCTGCCAAGGCATCACGTGGCCTAGTGCACGTCAGGCTGCATGTCCTAAACTGTGCCAACAGCTCTCTCCATTAGGGCCGAGGAGGCAGTGGCCCGTAGGAGGAAGTAGAGGTCTCCCTGCACCCCAGCGCCCTTCCAGGAGCCTCTTTTTCCTTTTGTGGAAAAAGTGCTTGAGTCCAAATAACAGTTCTACTCGGGTTTAACTATCTAATGAGAATTTTGTTATTACCTGTACAGCAAATGGTGTGTGTGTGTGTGTGTGTGTGTGTGAAGAGGGGAGGTTGGGGTGTCTGGTGAGGGCTGATGGCAGGGCTTGGAAGGCTGGTGGGAGCCTGCCCACCTGGCCACAGTGAGCAGCTGGGAGAACCGGGATGGCCATTCCCCAGTTTGGGGTTTGTGCTTCTGCCAACTGATTTCTGGCCTGATTCCTCCCCAAGGGGCCCCCGTTCTTTGCTGCCACAATGTGGAGAGACGTTTATGAGCCTTGACATTCTTCAGGCCTGGGCCTGGCTTGAGATGGCTATCACTGTGTGCTGCTGCACAGGGCGGGGCTTCTGTCTTTTCCTGGCAGGGCTTGCTGGAGCCTCCATGCCCCTGCCCTCCCTTGCTACTCTCTTGCTGTTTTCTCTGGCAGTGGAAGAGGAGACTGCATTGTTCCTGGCCGCCAAGAGGGGCATAGGGATTCGGGGAAATGGCAAGGTGGGAAGTGGGAGCCTGGGGAAAGTATTGCTGGCCTGGCTGCTTGCCCCTGGGCTTGCCCTTTTGAAGTTACCCACAGAGCAGGGCTTTGTATGGGGCCCATCCTGGGGGCCAAGGGTTGGGGGAGGACAGCAAAGGCCTTGGTTTTGCAGCCAACACACTCCTTCCCGGGGCCCTGAGCCAAGAAGCCAGCACCGGAAGGCAGAGCCTCACACTACTAAGGCACTCTAGGATTTGCTGTTGTGCTTGTCTGGGTCCCACTGCAGAGAGGAGGCTGGCAGAGGCAGGGATGGCCTCAGCCTCCCCTCACTCCCTGGGTATTTCTAGGGGCTTCCTTGAGGCTCAAGGCTCTCGACGGGTGTTCCTCCTTCCCTAGCTGCTCTTCCATCTCCTGGTAGCGAATCTTCTCTGTCGTACACTGTTCCCCTGGAGGTGCTCCAGATCTTGAGCTATGCTCAGCTGTAGTTAGAACCCAGCAACCCAACTTTGCCTTCAGCCCATGGTGGGACATCTCCAAGACTGGCTGACACAAGATTTGGGCAATTCTAGATATCTGAATTATAATTAGAGATCTAATCTAGGCTTGCCAAACCAGAAGGAGGAAAGAGTGACCATGACCCCAGAGGAGGACAGGAAGAAAGCCCTGTTGCTACTTAGAAGAAATGAACTCAGGGCCCAGGAGAGACAGGGCTAAACAGCACAGAATTGAATCTCTTTCCTGGATTGTACAATGGTTTCCCTCAAGTCATGCTTAACATAAGCCAAGTTCCCTGCAGAAACTGAGCTGCGAGTCTCTCCTGCACCCAGGGCCTGGACAGTTTCACCCAAGTGTCTACAGGTTTTGCTAGGTGCTTTGGAATTTGTTGGGGGCCAGGGCACATGTACCAGGGTCAGCTGCATTGGGAAGAATTGAGAAGCCACAGGGAATGTTCTGACATTCTGGGGGAATCTCCCAAGTGGTGCAATCACCCGGTACTATCTGAGATGTATTCAAAGAAGGAAGACCTGAACCTTCAATCGTGGGCAGGTGCTCTCAGATACCTCATAGGGTCAGCAGGTGGCATCTAGGATGGAAGGGGCCCTGGGTGGGGGTATTGGAAACTGGGAGGTTCACACCTGAATGTGCAGTTATTGTTCAATTGCCTTTGGCCATCACCAAGGGGGAAAATGGAACTGAAGCTGCCCGTCCTGTCTGTGAATGGAACGTTGCTGATTTCTGTATGCAAGAGCACTTATTTGATTTTAGAAAAACATAGTAAGCTCAGGTAGAACTCTTCCACAAGGTGAAAAGTTTGTGGGGTGAAGAATTTCACAGCTGTTTCTCTTTTTTACTTAAACTGATGAAACTATATAAAAAGTAGGGCAACAATCATGCCTCTTTCTGGGCCACAGTGTAGTATTTCAATGCACCTATATGATATGGACTGATCAATACATGTGATAAACATTTTTCCCTTCTTTGACATTGCTTTGCGATTAGAAGCTTGGCATCCACAACTCATGCTTCCTCCAAGCTAATACTTCTACACATTTATTTTATCTTTTTAGTTGAATAGTATTTTCTTTAAATTGAGACCTCTGGAGAGGGGCTGGTGCTGTGGCATAGCAGGTTAAGACTCTGTATTTGCCATATCGATACTGGTTTGAGTCCCGGCTGCTTCACTTCCAATCTAGCTCCCTGCTAATGGCATGAGAAAACAGCAGAAGATGGCCAAGTGCTTGGGTTGCTGCACTCATGTGGGAGACCAGGAAGAAGCTCCTCGCTCCTGGTGTTGGACTGGCCCAGCTCCAGCTGTTGTGGTTATCTGGGGAGTGAACCGGCAGATGAAAGATCTCTCTCTTCTCTCTCTGTAATTCTGCCTTTCTAATAAAAAAAGAGATAAGTAAACAAATCTTAAAAAGCAAGCAAACAAACACATTCTGGAGGAAAGTAGCCTTGCTCTGCTGGCAATGGAGGCAAAGGTACTGATTCTGGAAAGTGCCTTGAAAGTCACTGTTTTAGAATTTGAAGCCAGGGTGCCTGTGTTGTGGAATCACCTCAAAGCTGCAATGGCCTGTGGTCCCACACTTAGAGAGCCTGTCCTCTTGGGCGTCAGCTCAGGAGTAGTGATCATAGGCCTAACCTCTTTATGCTATTAAAAGATTAAGCAAATTAATACATGGAAAGTATTTGAACGGAGTTGGGCTTACGGTAAGTGCTCATTAGAAACCATCCATTTATGTATGGTAATATGAGGGCAACCTCCTTGGCTTCCTGTGTTGCCACTTAACTTGTATACCCTCAAGTGGAGCCAGTGTCTCTGTTCCTTCCCAGAGCTGTGCTTTGTTTTAACCATAAAACGATGAAATCCCATTAGGAAGCAGCCTTTCATTTGTCCTTGTGTCAGCAGCATGTGCTAGGTGGCCAGGTGCTGTCATCTTTGGTTTAAAAGAAGGGGCCACAGGTGAGTCTGTGGGTTTGGGATAGTTCTTGGGCATCGTGAGACACACACACACACACACACACACACACACACACACACCGTGTTGCGAAACTCTGGAAGGTGACTAGGTGGTAGAGATGGTGCTGCATCCCTTGGGGACAGAGAATAGGTAAATGAAGTCACAGGATGACACTGTGCATCTCCTGTAGGTGTGCTAGGGCAGGGCCTGCTAGCTCCCCACTTCACTCTTGTTGACCTGTAGCAGGTCACTGATGTCTTCTCATTCTTATGTAAAGTACTAGACCAACTCCTTTGTCACATCTTCTAAATGGATTGTTTCCTCTAAAATCC